ACTCACACAGAAGAAGCTTGGTGCCTTCTTCAGTCTGCTGTAAAAGCAGTGCTCAAGACCGTAGTCAACTCCGAAATAGTCGCGTTAAAGGGCCAGTGGATATCAGCAGCCTCTTCCAAACTAATGAATGCACATCAACACATCCCTGCAAGCTCTGAGTACAATGAAGAGCGAGCACAACTAAAAAGTAGATTGAGGAAAAGTCTGCACAACGATCGCGAACAGTGGTGGGCAGTGAAGGCTAAAGAGATGGAAAAGGTGCCGACGATTGGTAACAGTAGACAGTTATTTAAACTTTTTAAGGAGACTGTGGGGAAATGGTCAACAACAGTTAGTGAGGCTATAGCAGAGAAGGATGGGTCTGCGATTCATTCGCAGAAGAGACGACTGGAACGATGGGTAGAACACTTTGAGGAACAGTTTAACTGGCCTCCAGCTACCATTGTGTTGCCCGCTATCCAGTCGGATCCTGAATGGGACATAGAGACAGGTCCCTCAACACTAGAAGTTGAGAAAGCGGTAGGTAACCTGAAACGAGGAAGGGCAGCAGGATCAGACGGACTACCTGCTGAGGTATACAAGGATAATGGTGCAGTGCTCTTAGTCAGGTTAACGGAAGTGTTAGCCAGTATATGGGAATCAAATACGATCCCCTCTGACTGGTCTAAGTCACTGATCATTCCAGTCTTCAAGAAAGGCGAGAAGTCCTCTTGTGATAACCACAGAGGAATCAGCCTGACGAACATAGTATCCAAAATCCTAGGTTCTATAATTCTCCGACGCCTGAGTGGAGCTAGGGAACAGCAAGCCCGAGAAAACCAGGCAGGCTTTTGACCCAGCCGACCAAATATTCACACTGCGACAGGTCCCAGAACATAGGTACGCTTACCGACGACCAACACTGAAGGCGACATTCGAGAAGTCTTATGGCAATGTCTGTCACTGAAAGGCGTGCCTAGTAAGTACATCACCTTATTGAAAGCTCTCTACTCGAACACTTGTGGGCATGTTAGAGCCTATGGCGAGTTGTCCAGGGAGCTATACTCATCAAGTGGTGTCCGTCAAGTGTGCCCACTCTCTCCATTCTTATTCAATTTTATCACTGATATTCTCATAGAGGTTTCCGTCTCATCACCTGATTACACAGACGTTGACCTAATCACAGGAGAATTTTCATAAGACATAGTCCTGTTAGGTGAAGACGCTGACAAGATGCAAATTCACCTGAACACTTCGAATGGGAATTTGAGAATGTTTGGGATGTGGTTCTCACCACCCAAATGCAAATTGTTGCTCCAGAATTGGTCTTCAACGGTGCCAGGGCTAACAACAGAGAGTGTAGTGATTGAGTGTGTCGACCACTTCACTTACCTGGGAAGTAGGATCAGCCCTGATGGCTCAGTGGCCGATGAAATCTCTGCACGGATACAAAAGGCTCGGTTGGCTTTTGCCAATCTACGCCACCTATGGCGCTGCCGTGATATCCAATTGTCTATTAAGGGTTGCGTGGCTTGCACAGCAGTTCACTCTGTTCTACTGTATGGCTGTGAAACATGGCCATTGAAAGTGGAAGATATAAGAAAGCTTCAAGTGTTTGACCACCATCGCCTTCGTAGTATAAGCTGTATTCCGTTGTGTCACTATGTGAGTAACGCAGACGTCAGGTACAGAGTTTTAGGGAGTAGAGGTAAATCTTTTGACGAGGTTATGAACCTTCATCGACTGAGTTAGTTGGGACACGTATTACGTATGCCTAGTCGCCGATTACCTCGTCACACAGTGTTAGCCAAAGTAGGTCCAGGCTGGAAAAAGCCCCAAGGTGGCCAGACTAAAACATGGCATCAATATATGAAGTCATTGACTGTTAGTTTGAGCCATATGGGGCGATGCAGACTAGTCGGTTGGGGTCCGCAGAAGAAGAGGAACCGGTGGTTGGGAACTCTAGGTGATATGGCTCAGAAGTGATGTCAGTGGTGCAGATGTATACACACATAATCCTCATCTCAACGACGCGATACCGAATTTCACCATTTTCTCATTCTTCCTTTCCCTCTTTTCGTACTTCATATTTCTTTTGACTGCATTTTCTTATCTTCATCTTGCACCTCATTGCCTTTTTACTTGACGTACTGACATGAGCTGTGGCAACACGTACCACTAGGCAGTAATGCCTTGTCGTATGTTGATTTTGATGATGATGATGATGATGATGATGATATCTCAGAGATCCCCATCCAAGACCAGAATTGAAGTGCTTTGAACAGCCTATCCACCTGTCAGCTATAAAATATGTTTACGAGTGGTTACTCCTACACCCTGTGCAACTAGTATCGCACTAGGTGCGCTGATCGACTGCACTTACAGAAACAATCCCCGGTGCGCTGTTATGATATAATGTTCGATTAGATAAAGAAATAGCTGCTAAGGGAAACTACATCTCAGTCAGATTAGCGTATGCTCAATCAGGTTCAAAATAGACTGAGTTGCTGAATGACTGACTGAAAAAATCAAAGTAGAAAGTCGTACACAAGTGCATCGGCTCAAGTTACCACACTTCACAGTAGTACACAAAAATCAGGTGAACAGAAAAGGAGTGACATCAAAGTAGGTAAAGCAGTGTGAGAGAGTAAACAATCTGAAAATAACTGCTAGTGCAAATATTCAAGCTTAGAAGATCTCAAGGAGCGAATATATCTGCACCATTCTGACCCACTTCCAGCCATATCACCAAGAGTCCTCAAACGCTGATTCCTTTCGTCTCAAAGACCCCAACCAGGCAGTCTACATCGCTTCACACAGCTCAGAACAACATCAAGAGGCTTCATCAACTGGTGCCACGTTTTGGTCTGGCCACCTTGAAGCCTCTACAAACATAATCCAACTTAACCTAGCATGGCACATCGAGGTAGACGATGGATTGGCATGAGAAGTACATGTCCACATCATCTCAGTCGACAAGGGTTCACAATCTCATCCATCGAATTACCTGTCTTGCCTAGTACTCTTCGCATAACCTCAACATTGCTCACACGGTGATTCCACAAAACCCGAGCAATGCCACGAAGACATCTGTGGTCAAGTCCCAGAAATCGCTTCATGTCTCACAGACGTATAACAGGACGGGATGGACCACAGCACAGCAAACTCCTCCTTTCATAGACAGTCCGATATGTCGCCAGTCGGTGACAGGGTTGACACAAATTGGCAAATGGCAAACAGACCTGTATCGGAGCTGAGAATTCATCAGAAACCAGCCTGTTCGGGCTGACGCACACCTCCCCAAGTAAGTGAAGTGGTCGACACATTCCACCACTTCACTCTCCATCATTAAGCTGGGAGTAGTCGGAGACCAGTCGTGGAGCATCATCTTACAATTGACAGGTGCCAGTGAAACGCACACCAAACATACTCAGATTTTTGCTCAACACATTCACAAGACTCTGCATTTTGTCAGTGTTTTCACCGAGCAGCACAATGTCGTCTGCATATTTTAAATCAATCAGATGTCCTTCAGGGAGTAGATCAATCCCTGTGAGGTCAGAGGTACCTATGGTAATGTCCATTAGTGGGTGTATGACGAAGTTAAGTAGGAACGGTGACAGTGAGTATATTTGGTGGACATCACTAATTGTCGTCAATTCTGTTGATGCACTCTTGTCCACGTCTCGAACCTCTAGAGTTTTCTCGAGTTTGCTGTTCTCGAGCTCCAATTAGGCGTCAAATAACTTTGTACCCTAGGGTCTTGGACACAACATTAGTCAAACTAATTCCTTTCTGGTCGCCACCAGAGAATGTCTCTTCCTTCTTACAGACTGGGATGATCAGTGGAGTAGACCAGTCTGATGCCACTACCTCTGATTCCCATACACTACACAGTACTTCCGTCAATCTAATCAGCAATTTCTTGCTTGCATCCAAGGGAACTTCAGGTGGCAAACGGTCAGGTCCTGCTCCTTTGCATTCTTTCAGATTCCATACAGCTTTCTCAACTTCAAGGAGAGTTGGAGGACCAGCATCTATGTTTCACTCAAGTGCAGACTGGATGTTTAATAGGTGAGTATCTTAGGCGGACACCACTAGTTGTGATCAGTTTTAATGACAACTCTCTATAAGCCCATACACGGCTGCATGAGTTCCAGTAGTGAGCTTTGATTGGTGTTATATACTTTCTCGATACTCCCTTCACAGTTAGACACTGCAACAACACCTCACGGTTGATAGAGTCAAATGCCGTTTTCGGCTCAAGAAGTATGAAGGCTGTATTTGAATGGGTTGCGTCTGAACTCTTTTCATACGCTTTTCCGTATATTAATTTCACGTATTTCATTGTCGTTATAGAACCTTGTATGGCACATTTCTCGATGCCCATGTTTCATCAATTATGTTTTTTATGTGCTGGAAAGTCAAGTAATATGGATCCAGTCAAGAGTTATAGCGTGGTAGGTAAGCCAATCAGTGTGGTTATAAACTACGCTGGTTCAAATAACTGGAAAGTGTCATACATACCGAACTACTGATTACTTTGATGTGACACGCTGACTAAATTGAGATTAAGCAGTAAGACGTCTAAGTATTGCTGGATTATGATAATGTGAAAGAGCTATGAAGTCACCGACTGCTAATTCAAACTGCACAACGAAGTGCAGGCTACCTGATTTGAATTCGTTTAGCACAGAAAATCAATGGTTGAGGACTCAGTATGATATGGCCTATAATCAATCACACTGGTGAAAACGCTTTCCGTTCTTCTAATATTCTAAAGCTTCCTATAGTGTTTTGCTAATAACATAACTACGCCTCATAGTCCCCATCTCCTAAAACATATCATAAAATTAAAAGCTTCGACTCAAGATAATAATTATTTATCCTATATTACAAAATGCCTACCTTTGTTAACCCTTGAACTTGTATCGACGATCACGAAAAGCCTTGACTGTATCAACATAAAACGAATTTTCTCGCTGGCAGACCATAGCAACCCTTTCTTCAATCCTAGTTACATGAATACGCTTATACGCACGTCGACAAAAGTCAGTAAGACGCTTTTTCTCAACAACCGCTTGTTCTTCTTTTGACAGTTCATGAAACCCCTTAATTACGGTCTTAGGGAATTTGTCACCGGCATCCGCTGACTTTATAGGAAAGCGTTCTTGAGCAAGTTGAGCTTGAATTCGGTAAACTTCTGGTCGAGAGGCTGTATATAATTCAGCCCGCCATGTCCATGGCATAAAACGCTGACAAGATATTCCAGGCTTATAAAAATCACAGTCAGCGCATTTAGTAGCAGAACCAGAGTCAACAGCTGATGGTTGAAGTCGATTTGTAAGAATTATATTGGGATACATTGCACCAACATCCAAATGATAAATGACTGGGCATTCAATTCTGTTAGGTGTGGAAGCTAATTGTTGCAAAGCACTCTCCACCTGTCCGCAAACCTAAAGGTATATAAAGAAAAAAAAACTAATTTAGGAGCCTAAATGTGAAGATGGTATTTACCGGGAAGAATGCAAACGAACTGTAAATAAATATGCTCTTTATTATAGTACCACATGATATTAGTCAAGCAAGTAAGTGGGAACCCTTTTTAACAATTAAATGAGGATAAGAACAACCATATTCTGAAACGCCTTGATATAAGCGAATTCGGTAGAAAGTACCCAACTGACCGTTTCTCCCAGCTATAACCCGTCCACTACAGGTAAGTGGAAAAAGACGACAGTGTATAAACGGCAAAACATTATTATTTATTATTTATACCTTGGGTTCCTAATGGAACAAAGGGCTTCAGTAGCACGTCTCCAATGCGCCCTGTTCTCTGAAATCTTTTGAATCTGGCTCCACGAAAGCCCACAAGCTCTCATTTCCTCCTCGCACGATCTCCTCCATGTCACCCTCACCTCGGACGCCCAACTCGTCGCTTCCCACTTGGATTCCACTCAAGAGCCTGGCCTGGCCTGGCCTGGCACGTAATGTCCCCAGTCGGCCTTCTTAGTATGTGTCCAATCCATCTCCACTTCCTTCCAGTGCATATTTGTTCAGCGATAGCTTCTTGCTTCGTTGGTTCGTTGCCAGTCAGCCAGCCAGCCAGCCAGAGTTCCTTGTTGCTTATTCTTAGTATTCTGGTCATCTGATCTTCAGTATCGAGCCAGCCTAGGTAGTTGTTGATGAATATCTGTAGTTTGTTGGAAATGCCTTTCATAACGCGCCAAGTTTCTGAACCATCACACAGAAGCACTGACTTGACTGAATTAGTGTTGAAAATCCGAATCTTGCTCCACATGCTGAGTGCAGTGCAGTAGATCTCCACACTGGTTTCAGACTAATGAACGCCTGTCTTGCTTTTCCAATCCTATGTGGCTTTGACGTCCTCGTCGGTGCCTGTGCCGCCACCGCCTGTAGTTGAAACAGTGCTGCATTGCCTAGATAGGTGAGAGAGGCTACTTCCTTTAGGTTTCTCCCGTTCATGGTGATTGGAGCCTATTGTTGCTGTTATTGGTTGGGTATCTTCATCACCTCCCTCTTCTCTATGTTCAATTGAAGTCCCGTCTTCGCTGCCTCACCTCTTCTGTCAACTTGTTAGTTTTCACCTGTAGATCTTCGAGTTTGTGCGACATCAGACACAAGTCATCGGGGAAATCCAAATCTTCTAGGATATATTCCCCTGTCCAGCGTATCTCACTCTTCTCACAGCTCCTCACTGTTTGTTGCATGATTCAGTCCAGTCCACTATAATCAAGGAATATCATGGGTGATAGTAGACAGCTTTGTTTTACTCCTGTCTCCTGTCTTCACTTCAAAAGCATCACTGAGCTTGGCATGAGGAGTCTTCATATAGTTGTTGAATGAGATTGATAAAGGTTTGTGGTATTCCGTAGTGTTGAAGCAACTGCCTGTCAAATTACTTGTCGGTCGACGCTGTCGAAGGCCTTTTCAAAGTCGATAAAGTTGAAGTAAAGGTCCAGTTGACTGCCATTTTATACTCTGTTCTATGATGATGCGTAGCATGGCGTTGCAATTTGATCCGCACATGATTCGTACTTCCTGAATCCAGCCAGCCTGTTCCGGTCGTAGTTTTGAATCCAGCACATCCTTTAGTCTCTCCAGGATGATACGGCTTGATATTTTGCTTGCTTTGGGTGGACAGGGACAGGAGCGTGATTCCGCACCAGTTCTTGCAAAGGCTTAGGTCTCCCTTCTTCGGGAGTTTGACAAGATAGCCCTTCTTCCAATCAACCGGCAGGTACCTTCCCTTCCTTCTAGACTTTCTGCAGTAGTGGTGTGGTGTGAGCATGTCCATTGTTGTCTCTGCGTCTGCTGTCAGTGCTTTTGGTGGGATTCCATCTGGTCCTGCTGCTTTCCCGCACTTCAGTAGCTTTATGGCGTTCAGGACTTCGACTTTCGTCAGGGGGCTTGTGTTCACTTGTAGTTCCGTGACTGCAGGTGGTATTTCAGGTCGAGTTGCACGTGGTGGCGGTGGTGGTGGTGGTCTATTCAAGAGCTTTTCGAAGTGGTCAGCCCATCCTCTCCTTTGTTTCTCTTCTTTGGTAGTTAGATTTCCTTCATCATCTTTTATTGGTTTCATGTATGTTGATCTCTTCCCTGTCAGATAGTAACTTGGTTATTTGATACAATGTTGTCAGGTCTCTGTCTCTCCTACTTGCAGCCTGTTCTGCTTCACTTGCCAGTATGTCGTGAAAGTGTCTTTTGTCTTTGCACGCACTCTTCTTCACTTCTTTGTCCAGTGTTTTATACATTGTACTCAGTTCCTCCTCTTTTTGAGCATCCTTGCACTAGTTCATCTTCTGCTTCCCCATCCTCCTCTCCTCTATCAGCTTTCATGTGTCCGTCGAGATCCATTCCTCATCTTCTTTCCTCTTCCTTCTTCCTAATACAGTTATGCAGGTTTCCTTCCATATAGCCTTCAAAGAGTTCCAGTGATCATCCACACAGGTTTCTTCACGGATGTTGCTCAATATCCCCCATTTTGTCTTCATGGCTGACGTGAAAATGTCCATTGTAGTTTCGTCCTTCACTTTCTGTTCTGGGTGCTGAAATTGAACTCTGGCGTCTCACCAACTTCAGTGAAGGCTTTCAACTTGATTTCGAAGTTAGGTTCCTTGCACTAGACAGTCACTGGTGTGAGCCTTCATCTGCTCCTCTTCTTGATCTCATCTTGTCTCAAGTAGGCTGCGTCTCCACTTTCTTCACATTCAGATGAAGTCGATCTGATTTCTAGTGTAGTGTGTCCTGGTGTCTGGTGAAATCAAATCCATGTCGCTCACTTTCTGAATATCCTTGTGTTTGTACACAACACCTCGCCTCCAATCACCAGGTCATTGAATTCACACAAATCTGCAAACAGTTCTCCATTCTCATTCTTCATTTCACCGAGCGCTTCTCTACCCATGATCACTTCTCTTCCTGTGTTGTCCACTCCCACTTCGGCATTAAAACATGTCAACCCACCCACTTGATTGCAATGAATTTGATGTCGCCATCTGGGGTGTAGTCTTGTCCAGTACTGACTGCAGTTGTCCACAGAATTCTTCCTTCTTCTGTTCATCTTCATTACTTATAGGTGGATGGTGTAGCACTGAATGATTGTGACTTTCCTTCCTCTTCAGTTGAATCTTGTTGTCATGATCGTGATGATGGAGGAGATTGGTTCCCACTGCATGAGATAGAGCCTTCGATGCTCTTCAAGGGGACATCATAATAGCCACTCCAAAACTCAGTGTGTTTGTTCGTGGTTGTCGTCTGGGTGACAATATCGGAGTAGATTATTGATTCTCCAGTTGACAGTTTGGAGAGTCCACTTCCATTCCATCTGCTTTTGCAAATTCCTAACACTTCAATGCGATACCTTCTCATCTCCTTTGCAATCTGGGCAGCCTTGGTAGGTTCAAACATTGTGCGAACATTCCATGTCTGCATCCTTACTTTCGCTTTTATCGAGAGAGAGAGAGAAGGCACATCGGCCGATTGGCTTCCCGAATGTTTTCACCAACCGGCGTCATCTCGCATCTCCGAATCCAGCGAGGAATATTATTATTATTATTAGTCCCTTGGGTTCCTAGTGGAACATAGGGCTTCAGTAGCACGCCTCCAGTGACCTCTGTTCTCTGAGATCTTTTGAACCTGGTCCCACGACAGCCCAGAAGCTCTCATTTCCTGCTCGCACGACCTCCTCCATGTCACCCTTGGACGTCCAACTCGTCGCTTCCCATGGGGATTCCACTCGAGGGCCTGACGCGTGATGTCCTCAGTCGGCCTTCTCAGTGCATGGCCAATCCATCTCCACTTCTTCCTGCATATTTGTTGCGTGATAGGTTCTTGGTTGGTTCGTTCCCAGAGTTCCTTGTTGCTTATTTTTTCTGGCCATCTGATCTTCAGCAGCGAGCGTAAGCAGTTGTTGATGAATGTCTGTAGTTTATTGGAAATACCTTTCGTGACGCGCCAAGTCTCTGAGCCATACAAGAGCACTGACTTGACGTTGGTGTTGAAAATCCGTATCTTGTTCCGCATGCTGAGTGCAGAAGATCTCCACACTGGTTTCAGGCTAATGAATGCCTGTCTTGCTTTTCCGATTCTGACTTTGACGTCCTCGTCCGTCCCGCCTGTAGTTGAAACAGTGCTTCCTAGATAAGTGAAGGAGGTTACTTCCTTCAAGTTTCTCCCGTTGACAGTGATTGGAGTTTGTTGTTGTTGTTGTTGATGGTGGTGGTGCGGTATCTTCATCACTTCTGTCTTCTCTATATTCACCTGAAGTCCCGTCTTCGCTGCCTCTTCTATCAACTTGTTAGTTTTTGCCTGCAGATCTTCAAGTTTATGTGACATTAGGCATAAGTCATCGGCGAAATCCAAGTCTTCTAGGTTCTTTTCCGTCGTCCAGTGTATCCCCCTCTTCTCGCTGCCTACTGTTTGCTGCATGATCCAGTCCACCACAATCAAGAATATCATGGGGGATAGTAGGCAACCTTGTTTCACTCCTGTCTTCACTTCAAAGGCATCACTGAGCTTCCCATTGTGGATTACTTGGCATGTGGCATCTTCATATAGTTGTTGAATGAGGCGGATAAAGGTTTGCGGCACTCCGTAGTATTGAAGCAGTTTCCAAATTACTTCTCGGTCGACGCTGTCAAAGGCCTTCTCAAAGTCGATGAAGTTGAGGTGGAGAGGTGATTGCCATTCTATGCTCTGTTCTATGATGATGCGAAGCGTTGCAATTTGGTCTGCACATGATTTGTACTTCCTGAAGCCTGCCTGTTCCGGTCGTAGTTTTGAATCCAGTGCATCCCTTAGCCTCTCCAGGATGATGCGGCTTAATATTTTACTTGGGGTGGACAGGAGAGTGATTCCGCGCCAGTTCTTGCAAGCACTGAGGTCTCCCTTCTTCGGCAGTTTGACAAGGTAACCCTTCTTCCAATCGTCAGGTACCTTCTCTTCCTTCCACACCTTCTGCAATAGTGGTGTGAGCATGGCCGCTGTTGTCTCTGCATCTGTTTTCAGTGCTTCTGGCGGTATTCCATCTGGTCCTGCTGCTTTCCCACATTTCAGTAGCTTTATGGCGTTCAGGACTTCCATTTTCGTTGGGGGATTAATGTTCACTTGTAGTTCAGCGGCTGCAGGTGGTATTTCTGGACGAAGTGCAGGTGGTGGTCGATTCAAGAGCTTCTTGAAGTGGTCGGCCCATCGTTTCCTCTGTTTCTCTTCTTTTGTAATTAAATTTCCTTCTTCATCTTTTATTGGTTTCATCTGTGTTGGTCTCTTCCCTGATAGCAACCTGGTTATTTGATACAATGTCGTCAGGTCTCTCTTACCTGCAGCCTGTTCTGCTTCACTTGCCAGTGTTTCGTAGAAGTGTCTTTTGTCGTTGCGTGCACTCTTCTTCACTTCTTTGTCCAGTGTTTTATACATTGTGCTCAGTTCCTCTTGTCGTTGAGCATCCTTGCACTGGTTTATCTTCTGCTTCACCATCCTCCTCTCCTCTATCAGCTTCCAGGTATCCGTCGAGATCCATTCCTTGTCTTCCACCTTCTTCCTTCCTAATACTGTTGTGCAGGTTTCTTTCCACATAGCTTTCAAAGACTTCCAATGTTCTTCCACACAGGTTTCTTCAGGGATGTTGCTCGATGTCTCCCATTTTGTCTTGATGGCTGCCTTGAAGATCTCCTTTGTAGTTTCATCCTTCAGTTTCCGAGTGTTGTACTTGGGTTGAGGTCTATCACCAGCTTCCTTGAAGGCTTTTAACTTGATTTGGAAGGTTCCTTGCACTAGGTAGTGGTCTGAACCTACATCTGCTCCTCTTCTTGACCTTGTGTTAAGTAGACTGCGTCTCCATTTTCTTGAGATTGAGATAAAGTCGATTTGATTTTTAGTGTGTCCATCTGGTGAAATCCATGTCGCTTTGTGGATATCTTTGTGCCTGAACACACTGCCTCCAATCACCAAATCGTTGAATGCGCAGAATTCTGCAAACAATTCTCCATTCTCATTCATTTCACCTAGTGCCTCTCGACCCATGGTTAGTTCTCTTCCCGTGTTGTCCCCTCCCAGTTTGGCATTCATGTCGCCCATCAGAATTTTGATATCGCCAACTGACGTCTTGTCCAGTGTTGATTGAAGTTGTCTGTAGAAATCCTCCTTTTTCTCTTGCTCTGCATTATTTGTAGGTGCATAACATTGTATGATTGTGACCTTTCTTCCTTTTGAGTTGAATCTTGCTGTCATGATCCTGGAGGAGATTGGTTCCCACTGCATGAGAGCCTTCGATGCTCTTGAGGACATCATGATAGCCACTCCCTCAGTGTGCTCGTGGTTGGCGTCTGGGTGACCGGAGTAGATTATTGATTCTCCAGTTGACAGTTTGGAGAGTCCACTCCCATTCCATCTGCTTTCGCAAATCCCAAGCACTTCGATGTTATACCTTCTCATCTCCCTTGCAATCTGGGCTGCCTTACTGGGTTCAAACATCGTGCGGACATTCCATGTCCCCACGTTTACTTTCGCTTTCATCGAGAGAAGACACATCGGCCAATTGGCTTCCCGAAGGCTTTCACCAACTGGCGTCATTTCGCCTCTCCGATTCCAGCGGGGAATAAGTTTGTTTTCATTTTTTATATTTTGTTTGTGCTTTGAAGTTTCTTTAGCGGTTAGATTTGTTTTACGGGGTAGGGTTGCTAGCCCTATGCCCAACCTTCCCTCTTTACCCGGGCTTAGGACCGGCTAGTAACTAGTAAACTAGTTAACCAGGCGAGGTTTTTTTTTATATTTTTATATTTTGTTTGTGCTTTAAAGTTTCTGTAGCTGTTAGATTGGTTTTACGGGGTAGGGTTGCTAGCCCTACGCTCAACCTTCCCTCTTTACCCGAGCTTAGGACGGGCTAGTAACTAGTATACCAAAACACATGCTGCGATCTTCAGCAATCTTAGCAACAAAACAGCCCGAGAACCTAAGCTGGTTAGCGTAAAAATAAAGTTGATGAAAGCTTAACTAGAGATTACTTTCGAGGTGGAGTCACCTAAAAACGAATGGTTGTAACTGTGTGCCTTAAAACTAACTGCTTTACTTTAGTCGGGTATTCAGGTGGCAATCATACGGACATACAATCAACAGCATTGAAGCTCATACCTGTGAAAATGATCGTGGTCATCTATATTTTATTCCACAAACTCCTGTGTTTCGGTATGTGTCACAGATAATCTGCTTAAGACCAGACGCTATATTTACATTTATGTCGCATGATGCACTTGATAAAAATGGTAAACTTTCCTCACTACTTAGATCAGGAAGACAATTTCTTGACCACAGCTTATATCAGCGTACAGCATTACTCCTCCAAAAAACATACCCCTTCAGTTTCTCTTGAGCAAAATTTATAAGTCGTAAACTCTTCACCAATAAACTATTACTTCTCATGAACATAAAGTCAATAGAGCGGTCTATGATTGTACCAAATTACTGAGCAGTGACTACTCAGAGAACTGTAGCCTAGTATGCTGACCTACTTGGCAAGTTTGAAGTCCCGTATGTATCAGAGTTGTAGTCAAACCTTCACATCAAACACTAGAGAATACATAATCAGATCAGTGTACTTGATCGTCAACACTGTAGATATCTTGCAAAGAATAAACTCATACTTTAGTACCTAGTAAGTTTACCGCGAATCATTGTTATAGTAACTTTAAATATTTTACTAAAAACATTTGTCCCCTATTCGATTATCTAAAATTCACCAGTCCGTTATAAAAGTGGATTAGAAAACTAAACACTACTTTCATCGTCAAAAAATACACTTCGCACTAAAGAAAAGTGGATGCTCAGTTCGAGTCTTAGTGAGAACACCATCACTCACTCGGAAGCAGGTACATTCAACTGATACCACCATCAAGCACATAACATCATAGTGAATCCTTCAGGCAATACAAAGGCATCCGCATAGGAGCCCATACAGCAAAATGTACCGACTAACTCAGTCCAGTATAATAATCAACGGGAAATAGTAAATTTAGGAAAATCAGTTTAGTTTCACTTCATTAGTATGATATCTTCATAGCATCTATTGCTCTAGCTTTCAGATGACATATAATCTCACCAGTACACACAAGACAAACAAAAAATGAGCATAGAAATCCACTTATGTATGACAGATGCTCATGACTTTCCTACTTTTACTTGCAGTTTGAAAAGATAATATGGCTTTCATATAGTTCTTATGCAATTATACTGTAAGCACACACATAATAGGAAGTAACACAAGACCTTGTCTAGGAAGAAACAGTGGAAGGTTGTTTATTCTAACTGCAACTTGTATAGGTATTTAATGCATCCATATATAAACATATGACTTTTTACTATAGGTTACTGGTTGAGTGTAAATACAAACAATAATAATCCAAAGAGAATATGAAAGTTGGGACAGCAACTACACAGTTTTTGATTTCTTCTTTGTGTATTTAGTCACTTATGCTTGAGTCCAAATATTTTTCATGAAATTTCAAATCATCTCAAAAGCTAGGAATAAGTAAATCGTTCTTGCATCCAAGTTGAAATCAGACGAGGATTATAAGGGTATCTGAGTAACTTTATCAACAAAAGTAAGGAACATGAAAAAACATTACGTTTTGAGGTCAAGAGTATGTCGTATATGATCTTGATTATCAAAGTAAAATATGAAGAGTAGTCTATATAATTATCACAAATAGCCAACACTTGGACAGCGAAAGCGAAATTAACTTATCGCTCAATGAATAATAGTGTGGTTACAGGAATATTAGTTGAAAAAGTAAGGTTACTCTCTATGAACCAGGCAGCAACAAATAGAGATAATTTAGTGAAAGCTTCAAATTAAACTACTCAGATTTTAGCGAGAGTTCTGTTCCGTTAGGTTTCAACAAAGAATACGCAGAGAATTATATAAATAGGGAGTGATCTGTCATAAACCATAGTGTCTTTTGCCAATCTGAGGACTGAAATTGCATACAAAACTAGAATGGGACAGTACGATAGTTACACATAGTTTGGAGTATTTTTACTCTTATTCTAAAGTGAGAGCACTTTACATGACATATGTCTTGCTTTACAGTACTTACATGGGCGGATGAGTCGCATTTATACCCACTTTTTAGTGAACAGCTGTAGCGGAGCGACTTTCCTTTTTCAGTATATTGGATAGCAAATACGTTTATTCGGAAACAATCGTTGAGGAAATTCACCATAAATGATACTAGAAGTTGCAAACGTTAAAAAGAGACTAATATTTATAGCAAATTAAAATAAAGGTAAACCTTGGAAACTATACCTTATTAAAGTAATCCTTTGGTACAACACTAAATAATGCATCTTCGTCTTCTGCACCTGTTTCAGTCTGTAAGGCGCGACACAGACAACGTCTGACATCAGCTCTCAATGCCTCTAAAGCAGCTGGGACCAAACGAAATCTGACAGGTATATCAGCTCGAAAAACCCCTGCTTCTAAGGCTTCCACATGTCCGCCAACGTAAGTCTCTGAATCAATAAGGTGTCCATCTTCTGTAAACTTTCCAGAGATTCCAGAACCGCTAGGTAATAAACTGTTAAGTCCAGAATCACCATCTGTTTGCTTGTGGGGAAAGATAACATTAGCTGCGTAAGCTTGAACCATCAGAAGTGCTTCGCATAGTGTTCCAGAGCCTTACGAAGAACATCATCAGGGTTTAGTGGAAGGATTGTACATAGTGCGAATACAAATGGATGTACATACTTCATATACAAATAATAAGTAGCAACTGCATCTGACACTGAGTAGTTTGCCAACTCTCTTGGTGACTCCCGAGCCATACGACACATTGCTTCTGGGTCGACCTCAATTGGGTCATATCGTAGTTTGGGCTTTGGCGACAGCTTTGAGACCACGAGCTCCAACCGGAAGATAAACTATCACGTTTAACCAACACAAACAATCAATATGAACTGCTGGTCGCGATAAGTACTCACCAGCAACTCCATCTCTTCCTGGACCCCGAGTACCTTTTTGGCGGGAGAATGAAATTTCTTCGTACATAGAAAGACCATAACTGGCAGCCCGTGCTTCAATAAACGGCCAGTCAAAAAAATCACCGTTGTAAGTAACCAATATATTCGGTCGAACTCTTTGAATATGTTCAAAGAAAAATGTAATACAGTCTAACTCGTTTTGCACATTATGCACAGTGAAGTGACCTGGAAACTCTGGTCTCGGTGTGAAATCGAAATCGTCTATGTCTTCTGAAAGTATCTCCCTATTGCATATAAGATGGCCAGCTCCATCCAGCATATATGATATCATAATTATCTAAAAGAAAAAGTTGAAGAATATGTTGAAACATATGAAAAAGTCACACACAACCTTGATGAGTATACTTACTAAATTCGGCTGCACTAATTTTTGTCAAGCTGACACAAGAAGGATGAGTGTGCTTCATCAAAGATCATCAATTACTAAATCTCATCTAAGAAAATTAAGAAAAACTGACTACGATAGAGTGAAATTTATAGCTACGGAAGAAGATGAAACTTGTTACGTATTCTCCATGCTTTCACAAGACATGATCACCTGACATATGATAACTAACATAAAATATACCCCAAAATATTGCACGATGCGCTAATAATATTAACGGCAGTTCGTCTCCCAATTCCCTCCTTGGCTTTCGAAGCCAGCCACTCCTTAAGTGTACGGTCATTGAGCTCCGTCTAATCGTTAGTCTGCGGGTGTTACGGTGTCTTTCTTATCCTCCCGTCGTTTTCACCCGTAGGCGTTCTTTCTACATCAACAACGTTCTCGATTCTTTATTCACCACAGACTGCTGTCTCCGTTTTTTCAGTTATGGCTCTTATCCCTGCCTTAAGTCCAGGGTCCGATTTCTGAAGGCGACTAAGTGTTAACGGGTTCCGTTCTACTGAACGAACACCATATGCGATCTCGGGGAGTTTTCTTCGTCTGATCTTGATAAGTCTGCCAACTAGTTTTCTTTCCCTGCCACGTGACCGATTGTCAAAACTGTGTTCTTGCAGTCACAACATCCAACGTGATAATTTTCCTCTGGGGTCTCTCGCTGTCTTAAGCCACTGTAGAGGTTTGTGGTCAGTTTCAATATGGAAGCGTTGACCGAGGAGGTACGATCTCCATTTATCCAGCGCCAGACATTCCTTTTCAACCATGCAATATTTCTGTCCTACAGGTGTCAGGACACGGCTGGCATGCTTTACCCAACTATTCCTTCAGTCTGTCTTGGAACTGCACTCGCATCGGTGGACACAATGAATGGCTTCCCGAGTATTGGTAGTTTCAAAGTCATCTCCTGGTCATTTAGAAGTTCCTTGATATGACCAAACGTTTTCCATGCCTCCTCTGTTTACATAAATTGGGGTTGCCAAGTAGCTTATATAAACGTGCTGCTATCTCATTGAACTTTTTGAGGAACCAACTGTAGAATATGCGTGTAGACCAAGAAAGATGTTTCATGGTGAATGACCCCCGAAGACAGCCAAAAACTACGGCAGCTGAACGGTCCAAACGACTAAAAATCACTAGCAGGAAGTATTTCCATGTTGAGAAGATAGTTGGGGCTTTGTAAGTGGCAATTCTCGCTTCCAGCCGATCCAGTGAATTGCGTTCACCGTTACAATATGGTTGGCAGCTGCTTTTTCAGTGGTAAATACAGTGGCATTGCCTGTGTACTGGAGATAAACAAAGCAGGACTCTATTTACACCATGCGCTTAACCTAGTCAAAATTCAAAGCCAGTAGTCAGCAGAACACCGGTCCTCTCCAGAATCACAGAAAGGTAACAAAGAGCAGCATCTCTGATCATATGGTAACGGAGAACCTAATCACAAAGTCACAGCATGGTTTCACAGGGAGTGGGTCCTGCGCCACTTGGTATTTGATCTCTCCAACTTCACCACTGGTCACCGTGAGGCACGTGAAACCGTCATTGCTCCATACTTCAATGTGTCTAGGGCATTTGATACAGTGTCTCACAATATGCTCTTTAATAAGTTAAAATCTGTTGGCAGTCATGGGCCCTTACTTAGTTGGGTAGAATCTCTTAGTGATCGTACTCCAATCCTGAAAGTAAACCCCATGCAGTTTGAGCCTTAACATATAACCAGCGGAGCTGTACGTGGCGGAGTTCCTGGGCCTTTAGTGTTTATGATTTATATCAGCAGTGTGTGTAACTGCTCCGGTGGACGTAAAACACACGTAAACGCCGACGATTTGAGGCTCACGCACACTTGTCACTTTCCTGAACTATGTACAACTCTGGGTATTACCCGACAGAAGCTAGGCAAACTTACATCACGGTGTGTAGAGTCGCACCTTCAATTCAATAATGAAAAACGCTGTTGGCTTAGCATAAACAACGATGGCCTTGACCGGACCCTACCTAGACGATCTCCTGTGCTAGCTTCCGGCATCAGGTATACCAGAGACTTGAAATTCTCGGAACAAAAAGCTTATACCAAATCCAAGTCACACAAACTCTTAGGATGCACCACTCTTAACTTCTATATCTCTGAACCACGGTGTTCTACTCTATAAAGTGTGCATTTGCCCGCTTTTAGAATATTGCCCGAATACTCTCGGCAGCCTTCCCATAAGCGATAAACTTAAAGTCGAAGAGTACAATGGCACTTCAACTTCAGAACATTAGGAGCTGACTCCAATCTATACTACATATCCAGATGTAACATGCTCGGGTTAGAACTACCATGGAGGAGGTGACTTAAAGTGAGGGTCGTACTTCATTGTAAGTTACTTCACCAACACTTGCACCCTCATGGTCCGCAAACCAAGCCAATCACAACGTCTACGCGTGGTATGCGTGTTGGCTGAGAATGAGTGTTGTGCGAAGAGCCTACAAGGTAATTTCTTCCCCAATAAATTCTCGCGCATTTGGAATGATCCTCCAGAGGAAATCCTTACGGTAAGTTCGTTAACCTTTTTCCGCTCCTCACTTGATGGGCTTCTAATAAACGACGAGCTCACCACTCACTTAGCCACCACCTACGCGTCCCAAGCTAGTGAGAACGTGGACCCCTAAATACACGAAGAAGAGTTGTTAAAGTCCTCAAGTGCCTGATGGGTTTGCGAGGGCCTAGAAGGGTCTGGGCACTGGTTCCCTCCCCCAGTGTAATGAACTTATTATACACTAGTTTCCTCTCAAAGCTACCACGATACGCCCCAGATATAGGAAAGTTTAAGAACATTATAATCGCAAATCTACGTAGTTGATCACACATGTATACATGAAAATGTAAATAAGGTTCGAGTAGGTTTAAAAATAGAGTCTCTGATCTCTTAGTTTTTTGAGTGAGTGGCAATTAACCTTTTCACGTATGCTCCTGCTTCTCCTAGTCTTCCTCATGGATAAAGCAACAACTCGATGCGGAATTCTGATGCTGAATTTCAATCTGAACATAACCACTTAGGGGAAACAACACCTGCTCTATAACGCCAAGAACTACTGGACTGTTCCAATCTTTCGTGGTTTCTGGAATGTCCTCAAGATTAACTCATCTACTGGTCAGGATTCTTCAAGCGACGAAGCGTCCGAACCTCCCCAGCAGTCATAGTAGCACAAATAATTTGGAAATAGTTAAACCGGGGACTAATTTACCTAGTACCTTGGAACACGACTTACTGCAGTAGCTTCGCACTACGTGTTTTCTAGTACTCTGTATGGAGTGTCCTTTCAAATGGGAGTCACCGTGCATCAGATACGCTCCTAGGATGATGTTGCTCACACTAATAGGAAAGATGCCTGAAGTCTGTGTCTAACTACTGCCACTTGGATGACTAACCGTCTCAACGTCTATTTCTATACACTGCAACAAGTATTCCTAATGGAATTAACCTATACTACCCTCAAACACAGCACGGTGAAATGGAAAGGCAATGACTTAAACATTCGCCTTGGTTATATAACTGTGGATATTTACTGATGCTTCGGACGGCATACATGGGTCCTTTGTGGCAAACAAAGCTTACGCAACTTCTTCAGATACGAAGGTCAACCGCTAATTCCTCGCAAGAACGAACACAAAAGCGCAGTTGGATAGAGGACCTACATTTTGTGAATCATGTGGACATACTGCGGTGCTTTAACCAGGGAGATCGCCTACAAGTGACGTAACGTGGGAGGACGATGTTTTAATCGAAGTGTGTGAGGTACCACGCCCCTCCTAACTAACGGCCAGCTGGAAGTGTGAAGCTCAGTATGATGGTCGGATCCCATAGAACCTTAGGACATTCAAATTTTGGAGGGCATCTACACTGAGTTAGCATATATCCCAGCCACTTATCACGAAATCCAACTTTTACCATGTGGCGACTGACAGTCACCGCCTACTGCACCCTCCAGGTTCCTTAACTAGTGACATACTGCCTTGTTTGTTTTTGTGCTACGGGAAGAAACCATAACAGTTTGCTGTGAGCCATTGAACATTTTCCCCTACAAAACTTGCTTATAACTGAATTCGAAAATGAAACTGGAGAAAAGAGACTCTTCACTGAACTGTTCATCTTAAGCTTGCGTGCGCTTCCGAAGGCGATGTGAGATGTCCGTCTGTCCGTCAATTCGGACTGCTTTGGGCTTGTGAACCCTCAATCAAAATATTCCAGTCGCAATGCTCATCCATTTGCACCTATTAGATAGGCATGTGATCGTTAACGTATATCCCAGGATTATATTTCTCTGAACCCACCTGTATTTTGTTCTATAACTGTTATCGGTTGTCTCAACCTCCCAACCGTATTAGCCTTTGGTTTTTTTATAATTCATTTGCCAATAAGCATTTTTACCGATTCAAAATACTCCTCTGGAGTTCATGGTTAAACTAGCTGACAAAGTAGGGATGATTAAAGTACAAGTATCTAAAGGTGGGTCAGAATAAAGCTGCTTTTCACGTTGTATACTTCCGTTATGCCCAGAATCTTTGATTTCTACACCAGTGTTGATAAAAGTCGTTACAGTACGGTTATGACTGCCTGTAACGGTTGATTCTCGGCAGTGACATAAACGACAAGATTCCACAATAGAAGGAAGACAGTCCAAACTGTGACTAAAAACAAGTGGCGGTAGAGCAAAGTGCTGATTTCCTGCGGCAGTGAACACACTGTTGTCACACTATCAAGTCACAAAGTAGTCCCAGATATGGAGGCAATCAGACCGTTTCAGCTGCATTAAAAAGGAAGTAGCCCCGCAACCTGAACCATCCCTCTCATAGAAGACAAGTGATACCATAACGCCTGTTGGCTTTAGTATCTGCTCCAAAGTCCAGT